CGGAGCGAGTGATCTCAAATGCGAGAAAGATATAAAGAGTATTCCAGAGCAAATTTTTAAAAGGTTGATTTATACGTGCATTATTGTATTATAATTTCTCTTAGGCATCTGTAGGAAGGAAGGTGAGCTGGAATTCTATCTACAGGCAAACTTGTAAAATCTAATTTTAGTATTTACAGAGCGAGCTGATCAAGAATTGATTGTAGCATAGTTGGCGAGGGATATTGCTGCAATCAAAAGTAAGCATCAAAATGGAATACTAATGCATTGATTATGACTTACAGATTTCTGTTCAGCAGTCATTATTTATTGATAGTCAAAATGGAGCATTTTTTCTACTTTAAACACGCCACTATCCGTTACATTTACTTCGCACCTGGATAAATGTAGAGGTGGCATATAAAATAGAATCTATTTCGATTTCAAATTTTATTGACGAATACGATGTAGCCCCATGTAAAGCTAAGGTCAAAATTGTAAGATCCTACAAGAATAGTCTAACTCACGATTGTTAAATTATAAGATTTTAAAAGTGTCATTAAATGAAAGGATAGTTAAATGTCCTTAATCTCTTCGATAATATGTCCTGTGTTAACGAGATTTTGTAAACTCCTAAAACATGCCGTACGGATACTTTTTCAATTGAAAATATTCGCCTCAATTATATGATAGTGATTTCACTCTTTGGCATTCAAACGTCTTCAAGTATTAAAAATAAGTTGTAATACTTTACTAAAGTGACTTCAGAAAATAATACTAGATCTTGAGAGTTTATGTGTTGTATCCCATCGTATTAAATGATAGTAGCTGCATAGCCAATGCTATCAGATTTAAAAAACTTCAGTTAAATTGATTCAGATTTGAGGTAAGAGTAGTAGCTTCATACGATAATATAGCTAATGCTAACAGATTAAAAAAAAAACATTATTTGATTAATTCAGATTTGAAATAGCTGTAATAGCTTCACATTAATATCCTTCTTGCCAGCTGAAACAGTTCATAAATTACAAATTATAAACCCAAACTAGTGGATTTAAAACTACACTCTTGATAATCGCTAATAAAGCAATTGAATCATATTTGCTATTAATCGCGAAGCCATATTCCCAGATTATAAGCGAAGTTTGCACGAGCTGCAAGTAAACTGTATCTTAATTAGAACGATTTGGGGTTAGTATGAATTTTCGAGATCGTATACCTGCAACCTGGTACTTTGTTCGCGTTCTCATATGCCTACATAATTTTTCCATGCATGTAACGGAGAATATCTACTACTTCAATTTTGAACATCCTTTCTTGACACACTAAATCATTGGTCATTAACCACCCTAACAGATACGGTACTGGATACAGTACCGTATCTTGTATGGTTGGAAATTATAATTTGCAATTTCGAATTAAAAATGGCTACGTTAAATATTTTATTAGTTGCTACTTTACCATAAAGCTCTTTAAAGTATGTTATCATAAAACTCAGTTTTGATGTTTATACGTTCACTATCAATATAGCAAGAATTTCAGTCCCTAGAAATGAATGTGATGCTCTTACTGGAATTATTTATGAGAAAGAGAAATAAACTGCAGTAACAGCACATAATTTATTACTAGACATAGTTAAGACAACAGATCAACAAATAGCGTAAATTACCAAGCTTTTAAATAGCTAACATAGTATATAAAGTTGAACATGATAAGATAATTTTAACCAGCTTCAGTGAGTAAAATTAACCTTAACTATGAGTACAGTATAGTATACAGACCGCATAGTTTTGCTGCAAAATATCTGATTATTTATCACGTAGATCAGCTGATCTTTCACTTAAGGGTCAAGATTAAGTAGATAACACAATAATATTTCCATTTATATTTTATTTTCTCGGAAGAGAATGGCATGATATTGCTGTATCGCTGATGAGAAATTATTTCGAGGAAGTTTCGCTCTATAAAATCTGTGTTATTGACGTTAAATTGGTATGCTACCGCTGAAGAATTTTCCTTATTATTAATTGCTTTAAGGTAGATAAACATTTACATAATTCTGTAATAGCAACATTTAGTCCATAAGTCACGAGGTTAATGTACATCATTTAATTTATAAAAGAACACCATAATGAGTCATCCTATATTTATTACTAAGTGTTTGCATCTGCCAAACTCATAACTCTCAATCTACAGTTGCAATTGGCACTCCTTAATTTTATAATTTTTATTGATTAAGAAGATTAAGAAGACGCTAGCATTACACGTCAAATAGCAAGCAGTTCAATCGAACAAATTTTACTTTTTAATTTAGTAAATAATCGAAAGAAATGACTTTATTTACTGGTTAAAGTCTTTTCTTTAACTTATCATTAACTACCAGTATCCTTATGCAATTCAAAACTATTCTAGTATGATAGTGCACGTATATTATTTCTGTTCGTTTGCACAAATAGAAGTTAACATATTATCTATAGAGTGGTCTTTTATATGAAATCACTTAATGAACAACAGCATGAGTGATTAATATTAAAAAAAGTTCACTCAGCCAAGTCTCCTTGCTATATTTTGCGGGGAATTATATTCAAATTAATATCAAAATTCAATTATAATGTGAATTCGTCATTTGCAGTGAATATCCATTTATTAAACGCGTGTATGCTTATAGTTTCTTAATTCTGTTCATTTGAGATATAGCATCCCTCAAATCGGATAGCGAACCAATATTGCTGTAGTACCAAGGCAATAGCCTTAAAATAGCAGCATACTCTAAAAGTAGATAAATAACGGATGTGACATGCAACCTATAATTATATTTGATACCGGATACATGAATACAGTAAGCAATAATTAGTTTCATGGTAGTGTAACATAGACTAATTAGTTACATGTTGTATCTGTGTATAAATATATCCATAACTACCATCGGTAATTATTTGTGTTATTTTCTGATTGTCTTGTTCTTTTTAGTAATCTAAATATTAAAAATAGGAAATCACAACATGATTATTGTCACGACACAATCTATTTTATTTATTCCTAATTTGTAATCGCTTGTATTATGTTTTCTTTCAGGTTGAAAGACTTTTTCGATAGGTCAGTATGAAATGTACAAGACTGGCTATTAGAAATAAGTTGCTACCATATAAATACTAATGGCAGAATTTTCATGCTAAAAAAGTTTAATGCAAAGACTTTATCATAATATGGAAACTACACAAGCTATTATTAACTATTCTACGTATTCGTTATGTGAAGTTACTTCTTCCAATTTTTAATGAGGGAGTAATTTAATCCATATAATCAAGTCTTAATTGGGAGAGTGCTTTCAATTAGCTCTATACGCACACTAATACCAATCTTACATTGCTAGAGTAACTTTCAATTACTCGTGCTCATATAGGCGCGAATAATATATTTTGCTTCATACCTCTGTACACAGTATGGACGATTTAAAATTTGTATTTTACTCCGAATTTATTCTATGGCAACACTAACAAAGTACCTGTATGTAAGCTTATCTATCGATTGTTTGACTAGCGATGGAAAGTAAGTAAAAAATTGATGACAAGGATAAGCTAAATAGGGTAACTATGCCAGAAAGTAAGTCTAGATTTTTCGAGAGCTTGATCTAACAGTATACAATAAGAGTGAAGATATCGAGCTAATCGATCGGAAGTAAATCACTATATGAGATTTATTAAATACTTTCATCTATGTAAATCTGGTATGTTATTTATCGGTTACAATTAATTTAGCAGTCTATGGGAAAAGTAAATTTAGATACCTAGTCAATGATACCTGGCTTTAGCACTGTTTACTAAGGATTCAATATTTGATATACGGCTCCAATGTAGATGCCATAAATCTTCCATAATAAGCCTTATTTTTATCATAGTTTTCCTTATAACTCGCATCACTCTCGCGTGTTTATTATATTTAAATGTGCTTAATTGAAATAGTTTAAATAGATCATGAACTAAACATACCCACACCCTCAATCTTAATTAGACGTTAGAGATTGTAACACTACAGTACGAGTTGTTTTTACTTCCAAAGCATCAATGAAATGGCCTTTAGGTTAAATCTTGATATTCTATAGGATATTTAATATTATTATGTTACAAATTATTATGAATATGAAAATCCAATCCATTTCTAACAGACGAGAAATGCAATTGTCTTGGCTGATTTTAGAATAAAAGCCAATTTATACTTTGCTTGTTAGTTTGCCCCTGATGAGAATAACAATCTTTCAATTTTGAAAATTTAAAAAATAGTTATTTGTTATCGTACCTATTCAATAGATTAATTATTAAATTGATTAGATTTTCCATGGTTCCGATATCATCATCATTACAATAGCTAATGTATTATGTTATAGAAATAACATTTTTGCTTAATTAGAGTCATTTTGTCAGCCAATCTACAATCATCCAACGCGATATTCGAGACTAGTTTTCGGTAAGGAATAGATAAAAGGAATTAATAATAATTATTTAATATAACTTTATACTGTAGTAAAAAAGCAGGCAATAGAAGTTGTTTTGAATGCAATGATAAATTAAAGGTTAAGCATCCTATCCGAAATACTTTTATACAAACAGATGTTACACATTAAGATAAACAGTAGTTCATCATCCAATAAATTTTATTATTACTATTGACTAATATGCTCATTAATCTTGACTTATGAATTCTATTAATTTTTGTCATGTTCTTTTCTTTTTAATAACAATTAATAGAACGATTTAATGTAACCTTGGTAATTGTATTCAGTAAATTGATTTAGGTCTGTTGCTTTATTTTTAATGTTGTGCCCATTAAAACTTCCCATTCTAAAGCACATAGTCACACTAAACGTAAGCCGCAATTTCTTAAAATTATCGTACAGAATTCCTGAATTAAAGCAGAAAATAGAAATATTAAAGTATAGTTTTTGATCATTTTTTTGGACGTAAAACTATCATACGAAAGAGAAACCATTATCATTAAATAGTTAGTTATTAATATTTCAAATTATGGGATGCTTTTCATCGAAAAAATCAATCCATCCAAAGTCAACTGAGGAAGTCTTTGTGGAGAATGCCATAGCAAAGCATAAGGTAGTAGTTTTTTCAAAAACTTATTGCCCATACTGTGATGACGTTAAAGCGTTATTCAAGAAATTATCGGTTAGAAGTCAATATATCGAATTAGATTTACGTGGCGATGGAAGGAGGATACAAAATATTTTACAACAAAAAACTGGAGCTTCTACGGTAAGTTACAATTACCAACCTAAGAGCAGTTTTTTCATTTTTGCAAAACTAAATTTATCAGAAACATAACATGACACAATTATTAATTATCTAAAGTTTTTTTGTTGAGTAGTACTTTTCTGTTTTCCTTGTATTATAATTTGGATTAAAATTCAGAACTGCAGTATTTTATCTTAATGAAATATCTTCATTTTCAATAACTTAATGTGCATAGTCTTAACGATATCATTTATGGCTTTACATTTTATATTGGGCTATTAGTAATAACAATGTATTAATTTTTACTGAAGAAATACTTATCGCCACCGAAACAAGTTAGAAATAGAAATAGTATTGTATAAATTGTTATCGTTCTTTATACTCATCAGTCTACCACGGTGAAGATGGGCAATTTAAAGGATATACCATAAGAAGTGTCTATGTAATCATAACAACGGCAGGCTATTTCTAAAGGAGAATTAATATTTGCCTGGAATTCTCTTAAAAAAAATATAGTTTCCTTCATGACATGATTTCAATAAGCATATTATTTGAAAATGACCAGAAAGAGAATCAAGCCGTATCTCCTCGGATGGAATGTATCCATTTAAATATAGTAATTATAATTAGTATAAATAATTTTTTGCTCTAGTCTTTTCGACCAAGTTGTTGCAATAACATTTGGTAGAAAGTAACTTTAATAAATCATCGTAATTCTACAATCAATATTATTTCCAAACATGACGTAATTAAATTCAAGCTGGCTGAGTCAAAAATGCTTATAAATTACCTTATAATCGTTGATAACTAGATTCTAGTAAAATTGACAGAAAAATGGAATGCAAGTTGATGAGTAAATTTAACCGAAATTACTTGTATTAGCGAAGGTTTCTGCCGTAATCGATTTCAAGACGGCAATTTTAATGTTGTGCACATACGAAATATTTCATTAAAACTACTCGCTATTACTATCGCAATACTTATTCAAGCATTCGTTTAAAGAAAGTTAAAATTTAGAAAACCTTCTGATTGGCTAAGGTAGAAAACGTAGAATAATAACCATGAGTACTCTGTAAATGATAATATCAGAGAACGCACACTGAGACTAATTTGCAAGAGAATCGACTGCTATGGTAAATTAACTATCAAGGGACTAAAATATATATAGTGGAATCAATACGTATCCCAATATAGAAGTTTATGATGAAATTAATTCGATACACCAGGAAAACAAAATAGTTTAATATTAATTTTCAACCAGTAACTGAGGATACTAGAAATTAGGCGCTAGGGCCCATTAAAAATTAACGCCGCTTTTCTTCACATCTATTACTCCAGTGCGACCTTTTCACTCTTTAATATTTTGCTTAGGCATTTATTCATATGGCTATGCTGTCAGTATTAACAGTAAGAAAAAGCTGTTTATGGAGTAAAACGAGTAGTTATTGAAAAATCTTGATTTTATAAGATGTATGAACTGTTAAGGAATTTTATATGAACTTAAAGTACTATTGACATCACGTGCTATCATCATCTATAATTCGAATAATCTTTTATGGATATGCTTAATCTGAGGCATCTGTACTTATTTTCGAAGCTGAAATTGAATATGAAACAGTTTTACAGTCGCTAAGGCTAATTATTTGTGCTGAAAATAGCATTAAATTGACAAATTAAAGATTCACATTTCCAATTTATACAGAAAAAATCTGACTAAATGCCCACTCTATCTAATACGATTATAATATTTGTAAGAGTATCATTGCTAAATTTATAGTACTCAGATGAAATTCTTCAGCACTAAGTAAGTAACATATCCCAATTTTGAATGCCATTTTTATCTTTATGACAGCCTTATGAAGGAACCATAGATCTGAGACCTAGTTTGTTTCCTTCGTCTACAGTACTATACGGCATGTCATAGTTCTATAACCATCATAATCATATACCGCCGTTGTAGAAGATATTTAATCTAACTTCTCTAGGCAACTATGCTACAACTCTTCAGCTTTTGCTCATATAACAATAGGATCAGTGGTGTGCTCGTCCTTGTTTTGCTAGCTAGAGACATCCGGACTCAAGTGCTATCCAAACACTACTTCTTAACGGTTCTAATCGATATTTCTATGATACAAGTATTTATTTGATGTAAAGTACTCGTATAATATCGATTTTTCTTCGGTTTTTATTGCTTTACGGCGCTAGCAGGAGAGATAGTGAAATCCTATAAATTTCATGCTCAACAATATCTATAGTTATGGCTTTTGAAGGCATATGAATTACTAAACTCGCTAAAACACTTCGCGTAGAAACTTTTGGCCTTTTAACTCTTTATCACTACAATGTAGGATCAGCACCAATATGATTTCTTAGCTTTAGCAGCCCACAAGTACAGAAATGACAGTAATATTACCTAAATTCTTGATTCAGCACTATAAGCGTTGTTATTCTGCCACAATGTACCGGCATTCTCCTCTAAACATCAATCTATTTTAATGTGTCGATAACGATGATATATGACATTCAATTAGTTGTAGGAAATAAAGGCTAGATACCGTACCTAGTATGAATTTGGTCATTTTCTATATTTATAATGTCATTGTCACAACCCTCACTTGTGGCAAAGGAAAGTAAAGAACTCTAGTGTAGTTACTTAAAACTTGGGCTATTTCTCCCAGTACTTTCAGTTTCTATGAGAGAAGTATTTGAGAACTCGATTTCTCGGCTGATCTCCACAGACAACTGACTAATTATTACACTATTCTTCACGATATGAGTCTTGCCGTTTCTTGAGCAATTACTTTCTTTATTCTACAAACACACGCGCTTAAATAGGTTTCTACAGTGAATTCCAATATTAACGAGTGAGAATTCATGCTTTACAAGTTACATTAATTAGTATAATACCATTACTAAATATACATGTCGATATCCTCAGACTTAGATAGCTACAAGCTATCAGGTGTTAAGACGCTTAACCTTCGTCCATATACAGCTCAATTTTTAGAGATTAACACAACTTATAAACCTACAGTAAATTAACTGCTAACAACTTCTATTTTTATCTCATTTCTACCATCCTATTATCAGCTACAAGCGCATTAAAACATAGCACATAACCTTATCTTATCTATTCATAAGCATTCATTAATTTATAGTTACTTAATTAGTAACGGCGTACCATGACAGTCATATTTGCACTTTTGAAAAACTTATATCGTAGATTTCAACATATTACAAGTCGATACGAGGATATTATTTGCAAGTGGATAAAATTTTTCGTGGAAGACTTGATGCCTAGTGTTTGAATACTGTATCATGCAAGAATATTATTCATTCATCATTTCTTATTGGCTACCGTACCTTAATGACTCTCTTTCAACTGCATTTCATGTATAACTATCTTATACGAATTTGTATCGACAGAAAAATTAGTGATTAAATATTTTTCGTTGGCTTTCATTCAAGCATAAGTTATACACGATTACAGTTAATTAATTTTAAATGGATCAATTTCCAGCATTTCGGTTTCCGTACAGAGAAATTTAGATGTTTACGAACTATTGTCATGACAATATAAAATTACTATTATTTAAAGACTAGAATATCTTGTGGTTGTTGTTGAGCTTTTCTGTAAATGAGTATTGTTTTTCAGTCGATTAATGGAAGTGACGTTAGCAATAAAAAGATAGTTTCATTGGTAAATAATTAATCAGGATAACATTTAATTCCTATAACAAAAAAAAATTATAATGTCATAAAAGTAAGCAGTTTTAACAATAGGGAAAATGATGCACCATTTGTGTTTCAATTCATGTTCATGATCTTCAATTTGAAAATAGTGACGTCGCTAAAAGTGTTATGAAATTACAATTTGATTACGATTACAGTCAAACGTTAGATTGGCTTTTAAATGTTTAATAATTTTTTATCTCAAGTAATTGGTTTCGTAATAGTAGCGTTGTAAATGTTATCATTGCTACATATAATAACTTTACGGTATAATAAAATGAAAGAAAAGTTACCGATTAGTTATGGCTACCTACCAATATTAAGATCACAATTATTTTGCAAAAGCAGTGAATGTATTTTGTTGTGCTCATACAATATTAGGTACCTAGAGTATTTTTAAATGGCGAATGCTTAGGTGGTGCTAGTGATGTGATAGCAATGCATAATAAAGGGGAACTGAAAAAGAAACTTCTTAAAGCTGGCGCTACTCGGTAAGATAATAATTAATCATGGATCCATAATCTATATTCATATTCTTTGGTCTAATAATCATATTGTGAATTTACATATAGCCATGGGAGCAGACGTAAGAAAAAAACATGAAATAGGAGTTTCTACGACTAAAGAGTTAATAAGGAATAAAATTGGTTATAATTGGCAATTATTTCTATGAAATAACGGCATATCTTGAGTTCTTTTATTCCAGCTATGTGGAGATTTATTAATATTATAGCTGAAGAACGAAAAGTATAAATAACTATTTTTTCACCGTCAAGATTACCATAATAGGTAAAAGGTGGATAGAATAAATTAACTTTTTCGATAGCATTACGGTAAATAACGACTTCAGTTATACATGTAATAGGTATAACTTTAAACAACGTTGCCGCTGACTCTATGTAGACATACAGCGGTATTCGTTCGGTGAGTATATACTGTGTAGCATAATGCGATACACTGTACCTTGATTTATTGAAGAATTAATCTAGAATAGAATCTGCTATATCCATAAACTGAATGCTTTTGATTAACGATACCTGACCGGCTAATATTTAATGTAAAATTTAAACTTTTAAATGATATTTAATGTAAAATTTAAACTTTTAAATGATATTTAATGTAAAATTTAAACTTTTAAATGATATCTTAACCTATTTTATCGTAATGTTGAAAATATCAACTTACATATCCGCATTTTAAAATAGCTAGCATTTCTAGGAAATATCTGTATTGGCATAGCTAAATACTCTTTATGGTAGATTCTAGCAGAGAGTTTATAGCTGCAATCACTCACAGAGCAAGGAAATCAGTTGTTACTTTAGTTGCAATTCAAGTTGAATCCAAACATAAAAACATTTTTTAAAGGTCCTATTAATACTTGCTCGACAAATTTATTTAATCATAATCTGCTTCTTGATCTTACTTTATATTCTAACTTTTACACTAGATCAAGAGATCAAGTTGACTTTATCTTGAATCGTAAATAAATATAATTTTAACGGTGAGAATTTGCCTGCCTGCTTTTTTATCAATCGGCAGTTTTGCATTTTAACAAATATGAGTTTGTACAGCTTGTACAGGTGAACGAGAACCTAACCTAATAATACTAAAGAATTGGCTCGAGTAGAACGCTGATTAATCACTTATACAACAATACCAAAAATAAAGTAGGAATTTCAATGACGGCTCTAACGAGTTAAAGAGTGCCTAACATCCTAGTTGGATAAAGCTGTCAACTTTAAGTTGATATCGAGGATTGCGAACCGTTATCAATCCGCCAAGACTATAGTTCCTAAAGGTCCTTATGTAACAAGGATGCACTTTTTAATACTATAGTAAGTTATTAACCTTCAGTAGGAATGTTTCCGAGCATGAAATACATGAACGACTTCACATTGAAAACTCTATCCAGCATGAATATATAAAAATTTAAAAATTCGAAATCTAAAGTTCAAGATTTGAAATAGTAGAAGTCTGTACACAAAACTACTGTGATTAGCTGAAATCACTACATAGTCGAAACAGAATTCATCATCTGATCGGCTGCTATGCTATGCCGTCATTACTGATTAAAATTTTAATTACCTATGTGAAGCATTTTCTGATGATAGCAAGCTATAAAATTATGGATCTTAACCTTATAAGATAATACGAAATGACTCGCAAAAATGACTTCTGCGCAAATCGATAACATGTATGTCCTTTATTGGGTTTGTCATGTCAAAACATGTTTAAATTTATTATATATTGTATAGCATATGCATATATATAATACAACCGAAACATAAATGTGTCATCCACTAGCTTGTTGCATGGTTAATTACAGTCATCAAGTTAAGTATTAAGTATTCGATCTATTCTATAAAGCTAGCGATACTTCTCCTTTTATAATGCTGCGTAAAATGTACGTTGAAAGGCTGTGTGCATCATTGTTTCGATAGCGTCACATTTTAACTGGTCTATAAATGGTTGAACGCATTTAAATTTTAACTAATACGATTTATAACATACTTGTAGTGTAGAAACAATCAGAAAATATGACGCCGAAATGTTATAAGCATATACAAAACGCTATAATGCTTACAAACGTAGAAAATACAGTCAAATGTTCTTCATAAAATAAAATTATCTAGACACTTTGGTAAATTAACTAAAGCGATGCGTTTGATTGTTCAAGAAATTTTCATAATTCGTTGCTATATGAGTACATTGTCTTCAATTTAATAGACTGATCGCCGTTCGAGATCTGCAATTATTCCGATAAAACGCAACGAGAACTCATGAACAAAATGATTAATTGTAACTACCATCAACAATCTATATTAGCTGAATCATTATTACATATATGCATCGATAAGGATACAATAATGCATACAGTTGCATCGCCCGAAGGCGATCGCAAGAGAAAGATATCACGTATACACTAAATAGTTACACATATAATGTCAAAGCCTGAAATTGTAAACTAAGGATTATCACACTTTGTAAATGGTTCATCATTTGTTAGCAGTGATCTGGAGGTTAGGTTAATAAGCCGATGCGTAAGGACAGCCACTTTAAGTCTATCTAGTCCAATGTTAAAATTTGATGGTTGGCGTTACAGTAATTTGGCAAACAACTATTAGAGTACAGTATACTGGGCCTGTAATGTCCTGTGCCAAGCTTATGGCCGATAACAAAAGAAAATAGAATTGACTGTTAATATACTATAGTTCTTGCTTTATAAACTAATCCAAATGTTATGTCGGAGAATTGTTGCCTGATCAACAATTGAACCTATTATGCTATCTAAAAATCGTGAGAAGTCTGTGACTTTCTAGTAGTGAAACTATTGCGACTGCTTACATCCAGTTGACGAGGTCTGAAATAAAATGGAAAGGAAATATAATTTCATGGTAGCCACAAATACAAATTCAAGATACAATTCCGAACGCCAGACATCCCAAAAGCACTAAGCTTAAATGCATTATAGCTCTCTATGGCTGCTATAAGTACATATAATCCCGCTATCTTAATTTCGCCATAGTTTCCCTTAACTTTAATGCTTAATCACTATAAACTAGTATGCCTAAATTCTTTTTTGCATTTATGTCAGCAGTATTTATTACAGTAGCAAAAAACTTATACTATTTTCTTTGCGAGGGGCGGTTTTCATACCGATGCGCCTATAATATGTTTAATTGTCTAGCAAGCTGGCTGCTAAGCACATTGATCTAAAAGAGATTTTGCAAAATTCTCCGCAAATTAAGTTAATATTGCATGCTATTTACCTGTTTGCATATTGATAATGATAGAATAGGCACAGGAAGCCTAAGACAATGCACATTGATCCAACAGTAATGTAAGCAATTCCAAGGAAGGGATTCTTACCACCCAGCCATGATGCCGTAGATAGTATCAATCGCTTTTTGCCACTGAAAGTCGTCACAGGAAAGTCTATTATATTACAGTTGAGGACATAATTCAAGGGCATTACCACATTATGTACCTTAATTTTGAAGTATTTAATGCAGTACAAAATGGCAAAAAGTGAAAAGGATACTATATTCCACATTGAAGAAATAATTTCCACTTGGTAAACCATTTACAAATCCTGCTTGAGTGTGATTTACTTTACGATAAAGTTTACGAAAGCGAGGTAATGCAGCAGTTCTCATCCACACGATGAGATCTTCATTTTTGAAGCCATTATTGTTGGGGTCAGAGCTTAACTCGTATACAGGCTTACGCCAATAAGGAGGTTTTGCCGTACCATTAAATCCATACCTTAATGGAAATCCGGTCTGTACGGTAGGATTGTTATATTTAATACTCAAATCAACACTCCAAGCGATACCGCGGTCAATTAATCCAACATTGACATTACCAGTAGTGTTCTGGAACGTCAAAGTTAGTGAATCTAAAAGTGTATGATGAATTTTTTAAATAAGAAAGTAATTACATATTTAACGCATCTAACGGTCACCTAATGTGCTTAAAATTTAAAAAAATATAAAAGAACTTGCAGTTATCTAACCGACAAATTTATCCAAAACAGACGTGGATAAGTTACTAGAGCGAACTATTACGATAATTGACTGCATATAGTTTGCACCTATGCACTGCTCTGGATAATTAAAACTGTTTCGAGGGCAATTTATCGTATATATTGATGCGAAATGCATCAAAGACTTCATCCAAATATTATCATTTCTTAAGATTCAATTCTCTAATAAAACAATTACCGTTAAATAGGCTGTTAGCAATTGCACCACAGGGCGCAATCGGAGTGGTTGTTCCGTTAGCATATCTAAACGGTTCACAATCGCTAACTGTATAAGTTGGATTCCCAAGAAGTTGGTAGTCAGAACGCGCTCGAACATATCTTCGATGATTTTGATAAAAGTTTTCTAGTCCATAATACATGTATACCTATTCAGATATAGTTGTATACCGATTATTTAATATAAATAATTCTAGAATTCCGGGAAGATTAATTATACTATAGAAATCAGCGCTGCTTTTCGCTATTGTTGCTTTAATACTAACTTTGCCAGTCATTGCTGATGACAGTTGAAAGCTTATATTACAATAGCAATTTTCAGTAAAATTAGTCGTTTGAATGTAGTCGGCACAACTCATTCCGGGACTTGTAAGATACAATGAATTTGATACAGATGAGGCATTACAATGTGTATAGTCAACCACGACCTCGTTGACCTAGGCATAAATTTAAAAGAACGCACATAAATATGGATGCTAAGAAATGCATGGTAACATAAATTTTATCCATTTTTTTAATTAATCAGCCATCAATCAATAGTAGTACAACTAAAACGATATTTATTTCTACGTTGCCATCTATCCAGCATACTTACGTTATTTGAAGTAAATAGGAATAGTATACCAAGAGGAAGAAATATTACACCGACAATCAGGAAAGCAGGCACAACAGAACCGGTAGTCATTATCGGCTTCCAAGCTCTCATACGCTGTTGCTTGAAAGCGGTATCTATGATTTCGGATGAGATTGCACACTTGTTAACGTTTATACTCATGAGGTAATAATATGCAGCAGGCAGTCAACGTAGCAAGGCATACAAGCAATATTCGCCTACTGTTGATACGTAGAGTATGATAGTAATAAATTTACAAATCATCTCCGCAAAGGAATATAACTGCAAATAAACTGTTACCAAGAAAAGACGCTATCGGCTATTGTATGTCTTAATATCAACACATCACCCGTATCACAAGTAAGAAATACGTTAATATGAATTATATAACTATTTTATTTTTTTGGAATGCTCATCACTGAATGAACCGGTACTCAAGCATCGCGATAGTGTACAGTACTGTATACACGTTCAATACAATATAATTATTTTATTTTTAAATCTTCAGCGAAATAAATAAAAATAGCTAAAAGCAGTGTAAAAAAATTTGCAGTTGGAGACTGTTTATAGTTAACATATATAATCATCAATGACTATTTTGAAAAATTTGGTCACACTCGCAGTACAGCTAGCTACTCAGACAGTAAATTGTTATGGCGTCGTTGTACAGACGGAATGACAGAAAATTCTGGTAAAAACTACGCTAGTACCGTATACTGTAGTATAGTCATGGTATAGTACCGATACCGTGCCTTTGTAGAGTAAAATCTGTATGTACACAGCACTACTGTATGAGTAGAAAAACACTAGAACAGATATAAAAAATGGCTGATTCGAGTTTTTCGTCAGTCTACTGTGTTATTCAAGACGTACAGTAAAAGAACGCTTATTGAAATTAACTAAACTTCAAGCGGTAAAATTGGTTGCTATCCTGTATTAGTCTTTTTCTTAGTGGAGTAATTTGTATAAAAGTACTATCTATCGAACATAGTCTTATAAGCTTCGCTATGTTTCATCATACTAAATTTTAAAAGTTTGCGCTACAGGGGACTCGCTGAAACTCGATTTACCATACGGGTTTACTGCGCACACAGACTCGAAAAACACCGCCCTATTTCATAGCCGAATGCAATATATATGTACCGCGTACGCAAAAAGAACTAAAAACTACCAGCATGACTCTCTAGTAAATGCAAAATTGTACTACTGCATAAGAAAAGCAGTTCGTATTTTTCCACTTCAACCAACACTATCAGTCATACTTAATGTATTCTTTCCTTATTCCTTGCTATCACTGTGCTCATTTGTACATTATGAATGATTTCAAGTGTCCGGCAATAGACTATGGTATAGTGTAAAATTGATTGTATGAAAGTCATTGGATCATATTGGATATAGTAAATGTCATCATGCATATCACCCTAACGCTGTATCATAACATATAACCCTAAATCGATAATCCATAACATTACAGGCTATCTGCCACTACTGTAGTGAACAGGATCACAGCATAAAACGCCACAATATGAAGTGGTATGTGTGCATGACTATTGCTGTACATTTCCTATTAATAACAATTATCAACCATCCATACGAAATACAATCATCCTCATACTCTGGAGACAACTATACAGTCATAGTATCTTATAAATTGAGAAGAAAGCAAGACCTTATGTAGTTAACGTTTCAACTGGAATTAATACTAAGAAGGAAAGATAAGTTGTCAGAGTAAATAAATAAATACTGCTACAGCACGTTCACTGTGCTAATGATAGTACAAAATTATCTGAGTTGACTGTGCTCTATTGAAGATTTTTAGATACTTTTTATAGTACTGTTCGATTGATTTACAACCTGCAGGGCGCTTTGTACAGGCTACAGCTTCATCTGAAGGCGAAGACATTCTTCTTCAATAGCTTTACCTATCAACGTTTCTTCAATCTCGAATTAATCAGCGAATGCTATGAAATTAGTTCGCTCCCACCGATCGCCACAGTTCATAGAAGGTTTTCTTTTACCACTACACTACGGTTCGACTTGATGTTTTTTCCGTACCACTGCGCAAACGCGTGATAGCGATGATCAGGGTTCTATTTTTAAACAAACACTCGATCGCTATGGACTTGCGGTACAGTGCACAGTGTACAGTACACACAGTTTTATGGACCTTTTTAGATACTGTACACTGTACTGTACAGTACTGTACGCCCAGGCTTCATCCAGTAGTCTATGGACGGACGGTTATTTTTCTCTTTTTAATGAACCTCTATACTGTACTGTACTGTACTCTATGGCTAAATACCCCTCCCCATCCTGTTGGGCCTTGGCAAAACAATCAGCGACTCGGCGTCTCGAGTCTACAGAAGGTGTGGACTTCGGACAGTCATTCAGAAAACTTAGCCTTCCAAATTCTACTGCACACTATACAGTACTCAGCCTTTAAGACGCACTGTATGAGCTCTTGATTCGTGCTGGAGTTCAATTGATACGAAGAGTCGACTGGATTACAATCAACTTCAACACTGTCCGTTTTCAGTATTTTGAGATATTGGAAGCTAGCAATTACATATACAGATATATATGTGCTACTGTAAAGTGTAAAGTTTGTTCCCTCTATCGTCACTTTATTGTATTCTGTGTTAGATAATATTTATTGATTGAAAATACCTGAGAAGATGTTAATATTAGGCTTTGATGTGCCTGCTGCAAAGGCGGTGCGAGTTGGCAACTTTCTTGTCGAACGTTATCCTTTCCTCGAAGCTTTTTTCATCTGCTTAACTCTTTCAGTCCAACCTCATGTAGAAAAAGATTACGGCATGCCACATCATGTCCTGATCGGTTATTTATTTTTAGCTGTTGCTGTTGGTACTGGAATGTGCTTCGATATCCAAAAACGTATGTGTGCGTTGATATTTGCAGCGCAACTGTTCTTGATATCCTTAACTATTCAAAGCTCTCCATTAAGATCAGAATATCACCAGTGGACGAAGGTACTTGATAGACGTAATAACTGGATTGTTATACTTAATATCTTATAACCGGGCAATACCGTATATTAGCAATAAAATACGCAAATAGAATGGTACAAAAAGTATTGAATAATGTCTTTTGCATGCCTTAACTACCTTGATGTACACTTGTATAGTAAACGGACGCGTATACGAGTATACAGTACACGCCCTTATAAGTAGACGTATACGATATGTGGTCAGTGTATTAATTTATTATTGCTGCATTTTGAGATCGAGTCATCTTCATGATGACAAGGTCATCACACCAGCTATTTCATGTGGTACAAGGCAGTACATTCCTATACGTTAGAGTATACGTTAGAGTATGAATTAAATAAAACGCTTAATTTAGATAGTTGAAAGATACAAAACTAAAAATCATTATTATTCCGAATCATGAAATAAATGCTTTAGGCTATGCTAGCTATTATACTTTCGGATGTGCATAATGTTGTATTTCAACTGGGTTATTGTACTTTACTACCTTCTGATAGCATCAGCCAATGCCAACGTAATGAGTACGTAGTTATTGCAGAATATACTATTTAAGAAGGTTGAAGTAGCAGTAATTACCTACCAGCTATACAAGTATACAGCGTTACTCTAATATATATGCGTGTGAGTAAAGCTATGAGAAACGCTCTGTATTACTCGTATGTAGTGTATGATTACATAGCTACTGAGACTGCCAGTTCTTGAGCTATAGCGCAACTTTTAATGGAAATATATCTTTATATAATACTGCAGTTACCTCAGCTGCCTGTTACAATATTCAAATATTACTCCATAACAACGTGCTACATTGTTATTGACACTGCTTAGCTTACAGATGAAATTACGCCTTAACTCGCATTTATTGCCTTTCCCATTTCATACCATAAGGTCAGACTCTTTGCAAGAAATCTTGGTCTTATTGGTGGATATGTGATGATATCAGGTGGCGTTAATGCGGATCGTCGTAGTGGAGAACCCAAAACCAAGTACCTTCTTCGTTATGGCCGTATTGCTCTCGGCGTCTACGCTATTAGCAGTGCATGGTTACTGATGAATAGCGAGGAAGATCGTAAAGCTCTTATTATTCATATGCCTGGTGGTGGTTCTATAGTAATGGTATACGTTGTTGCATATGTACTTTACGGTTTATGCATTATAAGTGAATTTGAAAAGATTCAAATGTACAGATGCCTTTTCCTACAATTATTCTTTACAACCTTACTGGTTGATGGAGATGTAAAGTACTGGATGAGATCTCATACCAAAATGCAGCGGTGGCCTCAATATCATATGATGTCGAGAAATATTTTCATATCGTTTCAATTGTGGATATTAATGTTTACGGATACACAATAGTACAGTATATAAATTTTTTACTTTTTATTAAAATTATGCTAATAGTTAAGGGCTAATAAATTATATATTGAGAGAGAGGTATAATTCACTTTTTTATGTAGTTTATACCAAATGAGTGATGCATTGTTCTGGTTGCGATTAATTATCAACTGCTGGTATATCGTTGTGAGCCGTGTAATTTCATTTAAACATTACGGTAAATAAACTTTAATTTTCTGTTTTCAGCGTACGATATTATAAGTCCAAGCTAATTCCTTGCAATCCAAATTCCGGTGAACTACGATTTGAGATGATTTAGGGCTAGTCCAACTATCTTTCCTTTATTATATACACTTGACATTGCAATTAACATCAGAATTGACAGATACAAAAATCATGCGATATTTATAGCATGAAGGTGTGGCTAGAATTAATATTGATCGAGAATTATATACCTTTAAATTGACAAATTTTAAATAATTCTATCTGAATGCTAGCGCCAGAATTTGTTAATAATGCGAAAAGCAACAGTGAAATTGTTGATTATAATCGTTCTTGGACAAGATCTGTTTACAAAATTTATAACCCATTATCGGAGTCCAAGCATTAATTCCCTCGAGTTGCGTATGATCAACCTTGTCATTCCACCTATAGGACGAGAATCGAAACAGCCATTGCTACACAGAATACAGCTACATAAGGGCTTTTTCTCTCGCCTGCAATTAGAAAGTAACATTCTAAAAGTCTCTTCATTTAAACTACAACATATCGTTGTACAAAATGCCTAACAAACTACAGCTACATATCATCATACAAGTACACTGACGTTCGTATAGCAATAACTTCATCAAATGGAAATCTACATAAACAGTGCGATTTTACAATGTATGCACGCTGTATACTTCGTAATTACTGATCAATGCTGATTTCAATAATTAATTATAAAGAATTCTATCCATGCTGAATGATTCGTCCATTATCAAACGATTTTTCGTACAGTATAGGCAAATATTGATTATCAAGTTACACATAGTTATAACATTGCAGCAAGAATGGAAGTCGATTATCTATTCGATTTTTATATTAATCCCTGACATACGAGCATCAGTCACTATAGTTATTCACAGAAACTTTATTCCCATAAGAATATCTACTTCATTATCATTCGTTGTTAGTATTCAATGTACCTATTCTCCCCGCTTTCCAAAAGAAATTTCGGTACCTAAAATAACAAATGACAGCCATACAAAAAGTAAGAATGTCTGATTTAGATACAATTGGCAGCTTGCATGGTAATGTACCGTTATCAAGAGATTAACTTATGAACTGGCAAGAGAACAGTAGAAAGATTCATTTTAAATTTATGTAATACGTACTAAATCAACGGTGGTAATGATTTATATTTTTGATAAGCTACATAATACACTTACAACATAACTTGATTGATTTTTTGTATAATGCAGAAGGTAAAAGCTAAGGATGTAATATTAACTACAAGTAAAGGCATTGAAGGTAAATTAAACTCTTTTACGCTCTACGTCCAGTACATTCCTATCATGTTAGGGTTTTGCTCGTTCATGAGAAAATATGCGTAAAACGACTATTCATACGATCGGAGTATGTATGTAAGCCTAAATACACTCTATATATCCATTCGGACTGGATGTTATAATTTATCATGGCAAAAATAAACTGTCTATCGATAGCTACAATACTAGTACGAAATATTGTCTCCTTTCCTACATCAGAACTATAAGATCAACCTGATTCAAGCATCTACGTACAGCATTTACGAACTATCATTTTAAGTGAATAGTTATTTACCCAGTATGTTCTCTTTGTAGTAATCGTGGCCACAGAAGGCGAACGTAGGCGCACGTGCAGATAAGTAGTAATACCACCACTAGTAAGCTTTGAAAATTAAACAATGCAGACTACCGATTGGACCAAGCCATAATAGGAAGTTTTGAAGGACATATTTGAGAATAAGAAAATTCATATAGCAAAATAAGTTAGTGTATTCGTGGTAAAGGAGGAAAGAGGATGAGCGTACAAACTTTACACTTGATCTTATCATAATGTATCTTCCATCCGTATTAGTTACTACTCAACGCTATACATGTACGTCTATCAATTAATCATACTATGATTCCCAATTTACACTTTCAAGTTTATTGGAGAATGAGAATTAAGCAACCAAAAAGTCAATTACCATCTTTCGCCAGGAAGAGGCACCAAGACTTTGTCGATTCTTGAAGCGAAAGTCTGCAATGCAGTACGTTAAGTACTCATCCTGTCCACAGTACAATAACTAGAGTGTACAGTACTGTACTGTAGTGTAGTGTACTGTAACTGTTCATGCGAAGAACGATGATTTATGGTACTGCACCGTTTCGTACTATACCGTTCCGTACTGTACCGTACTGTACAGTATGAATTATAATACTGTAGACTGTAGACTTAACGTGTAGTACTGCACTCTCTCATCATATCACTACAGTTGTTATGAACGTTATCCACGAACGCTACATAAGACTAGCACTCGATAGGTAGGGTCGTACTGTACACTGTGCACTGTAGCGTACTGTACTGCATACGCGCATGGCCAATTGGCCCTTGCTGTTGGGCCATTCGATACCTTTGCAACTTTTGCTGCAATTCTGCAACTTTGCATTGCAGAACTTGCATAGTATATTGATGCTCAGTTCTGCATTTTGCCATGGTTGACTAACGTAGTTTCTATCTCTATTCTTGATCCAGATGATCATCCTAGCTAGCTGTAAATAATCGAGTGGATACTTTTTGGTGGACTTATTTTGGGATATACAGTACAGTAGTTTCATTCGTCGACATTGAGAAATTGCAATGGCTAAATCCAAGCATCGTAATCCAGATCGTCGCAAAAGGACTCACAGTAAGAAGAGTGAGGCATCCAAAGAGAAAATTTCTCAAGAATGCATCCAGTTAGTCATGCAGAGGAACAAACAATCTGGAATGGATAACTGGAAACTATTACAAAAGGTAGTAGCAAAGTACAGTGCAAGGCAGATTCGCTATTGCTGGTAAAAATAGGCAGTACCATTTCTGTACGCAGGCTGTTGTAGCTATAGAACACGCACTGTACTACTGTATGTTGTTTGTTTCGTATAGCAAAGTAAAATCAATCAACAACAACTTCTTCGTCGAGTACTGTACATCAAATTGTCTTTACTAGTCAACTACTGGCTGCTTTACTGGCTGTTTAGCCGATTTTTCAGAAACTGTCATCCCGTACAGTATATTGTGTAAGTTAGTAGACGATAGGATGAATGCATTATCTAACCACCATCGGTAATACACTGCAGTTAGATGACGATGAGATGGACGTAGGAGACTAGTCCAATCGATTTTTTATTTTAATGGCTTAGTGTAATGAATTAAACGATAAAAATGAATAAGAATACATCGTTGACTACGTAGATCATATTAAAATTCTGTTTCATCACCCTACTTCTTAGACGGCAAGGTTATTTTGTACGAAATGTTCTCTTAATTCAATAAACTATTGTAGACAATCATGTCAATGATTGAATGGGTATGAAATGCGTAATACAAAATTATTACAACTTCGATAGTTCTAAACTGCATGATATATTTAAAGGTGTAGATTGAAACATTTAGCTTACAGTAGATTCAATACTGACAAAAAGTTTTTCCTTATCAAGCTTGAGATTGACAAGTGCGTTCACTTGGATTACTAATATAAAGAAATAAATCTTTCAAGAATATTTTTTCATATTCCAGGAGCTAACTAAAAAGGATGAGAAGATACCTAAGAAATTCTATCGTAAGAAATCGGGCGGTAATTGGAAGAAAAATACACATGGAAATCAACATAAAAATGATAGTGTACAGGATAACAAGAATAGCCAGAATCAGATCTGGTTTGACGATGTCAATTATGAAGACATCCAAATGGCTGAAATGCAGACCAAAAGTGAACAAATACGCCAATCGGCAGTTACTCCTGTCCTTTCCCAGCCAGAACAATCCGTTAATGCGGAGGAAAGGTACCTCTTGTGACATTAAATGTAATGGATTAAAGTAGTTTAAATAGTTTCGGTAGGCAAGTTTATTTACGTCTCGATATTATCATTGTACAGTAAAAAAACAACAGCAGTTATTGCCTTGGATTGTGAAATGGTTGGAATTGGATACGATGGAAAAGAAAGCGCTTTAGCGCGAGTTTCAATTGTTAATAGTTATGGAGAAACCATCTATGATAAGTATGTTAAGCCAATTGAGAAAGTGACCGATTATAGAACACCCGTTAGCGGAATTATTGCTGACAACTTGCTCAATGCTCCTGATTTTGCTACTGTTCAAACTGAAGTCTTTGAAATTATTCAAGGACGTACTTTGGTTGGCCATGCTATCAAGAATGATCTAAAGCAATTAATGTTAGGACATCCAAAAAAGCGACTCAGGGATACGTCAACCTTTAGTTTTTTTCGTCAGGTAAACAAGGGCCATACACCATCATTACGAAAATTAGCAAAAGAAATTCTAGGTTTAGATATCCAAATTGGTCAGCATTCATCAGTTGAAGATGCAAGAGCCTGCATTCAATTGTATAATCGTTTTAAGAAAGAATGGGAATTATCCCTGCAAAAGAAAAAGCCTCACAACCGTATTAAAACAAGCATGTAATTGATTAATATATCTTAGACAGAACTTTATAAGTATGTTGTCATTTTATATCTGATATATGTAACATAATAGACTCAGTCTATCCCTTTCTGAAACGTAATAAAATAACATCTAAACTGAACCTGAAACAAAACTCAATCATTGTAATTATAGAAGCATGCAGGATCATCTCGTTATTATTCTCAGATGGCTTTGGAGTTAATATTACGGTATTATCTTTATTTGCGATAGCGTGATGGTCTTCATTATCATATGTATCCCACAATAGAGGAAAAAATACATTATTATTTTACTTAATTATTAGTGGCAGATAATTTCTAAACATACAAACAATTTGTTATTAACAAAACAGTTATTGAAATAAAAGTAAAAGTTGAATATTGGGCTGACTATTAATTTATTTGTATTAATTTCATCTGAAAGTAGAAAATAAGGTTAAAGGCTTTACCGCTATAGACTGTGAATATAAATTGCTAAAATTAGATAAGTTTTATTATATTAAAAAATTAATTCTATTTTTGTTTTATCTACTGCAATGGTTATATTATGCAATAGCCGTAATCATTTAGATCTGATAGTTTAACAGAAAATTAAGGCATGTTTGGATCAGAAAGATCAAATTATTAAGGTTCATGGCAGTAAATACACGCGTCATGTAAAATTGGCCATATACAAATTCCTTAAAGAAAACTCATAACTTTTTAATTATCTAGCTTTAAATGATAGCTAGAGTACTGCAAGCAACATATTAAACTATACATTGTTCGTACTTATTTTATGCTGATAATTGATTACTTTCCGGTAATGTATACTTATCGTTCTTTTACCATCTAGCTTAACGAATCGCTAGGATATTGAAAGCAACACATTAACCATGTTCTTTGAATTAAATTCACATCAGTAAATGCAAACTTTACGTTAATGATCAGTTATGAGTGACATTCAAAATTTAAAATAAAATTCTGCGTTAAGAGATATGTGGCTAAGAGAATAATTAAATTTGCCACTTAAGAAGCCCAACGATTAGGCTACAACTGGAATACTAACAAATAACACACTGTATGTATGGTATATGTACGATTAATGTTAATCATTGAAATGTTATGATTAGTCGCTTTATACAGATGAATAATTCTTAAATACGTTAGTAAAAATTTCTCCCAATAAGGCTTTAAGATCAGATGCTGTATCATATTAGATTTATTAGATAGATTTTTCCAGATTAAATTCTCGCCCATGTTTTAAAGAGAGACATCAAAATAGATAATTGTACTAATATACTGCTGCAAAATATTGATGTAAAAAATAGGAACGTCCATTATATCTCAATATATGGATTTGGTGTATTAATTTGACCGTCATTTATTCCATATGCATACTGATTGGGATGAAATAAATTTATATTCTGTGAAGTTCCATTACCATTTCCATAGATTAGTTGTTGATCTTGTTGATAAAGATCATTCTGTAGCAGATCGATGTCGTATTCAAAGATACTGCAGTCTTCACTCCAATCACTATCAAGTAATTAGACGTAGATTTAATAAGTAAATACCTAATCATATTAAATTATATCAAATAGCGCCCATCAATAACAAATTAAAAAAAGAATAGTAATACTAAATTTATGCAACAAATTAAAAATGCCGTTAGCAAATTCATAAATATTTATTGATAAAGATACACTTTCAAAAATTAATATAGCCGCACTTAAAAACCGCGCACCATACCCAAAGATATGATAATTTTAATAATTAGGTTCTATGTTCTTAATAAATAAGTAATAACCAGTTATAGGATCACAAAACTGTCACTTACAAATCTCCAGAATCATTCAAAGACTCAATAGTTGATGTTTCATAGTATAAGCAATCCACAGATTTCCTCATTGTATTACGATCAGGAGAAATGGTGTCGACAGTTGGATCTGCAAAAATATCAAAAGTAGGTTGATCTTCTAGTATTTGCTGCTTTGACTGGTCCATTGAAATCTTTGTGGAATTTAAACTTGAATTTTTGATCCGTGGATTGCTTTTAAAGAGTTCTATCATCAATCTGATATCTATATAACAGTTAGAATAATTTAAAATATGCTACGAAGGTATACTGATTTTTACTTAATCTTCAGTCTAAAAGCAGTAAAAACGCAAATTTCGCCTAATGAATTTCTTATTTTACAAAATTTCAGTTGAAGAAGTAACAAGATGAAAAATATAGTTAGCCAATTCAACATAACACAAATAACAGATCATTCATTAGATAAATAGTTTGAATTCAAATTTATTAGCATAAATCTAGTTGTTCAATTTTACAACATCATTTAGTGGTTTAAAGATACGAAAAATAAGTGCTAAACTTTATGGCTAAAATTGATATGAAGTACATGAATATACTCTGTTATAAAGTATAAATGAAATTAACAATCCATTATACATTTGACTTTCTCATTAAATGAGGAAATTATCTGCTGTATTAACCAGTCACAGAATCATAATTGCATGCAAATATATTGATATGCTATGATATCGATTAAGTGAATCTATCCTATAGGAACAGTATTAACAATCAAAGATATAAACTAAAGCTAGGGAACAAAATTTTGAACTTGGACTCGTCATTAATGCCTATTATTTATGTTTACCTTTAATTGGTTCCTTCCTTAGCATATTTAAATTTAATTTTAGCCTTTCATCATTTCTGATTTCCTCCAACAAATACATTAAATACTCGCTACATAGCATGTTAATTAAATGAAAATGACCTAGGGCAATTTGGTACATCAAAATAGTGAATTAGTGGCTTAGTGAATTTAAGTAGAATTAACATCATCTCCTTCTTTACCAAAGCTATCGGCTCCGTGCAGTGTTAACTCGCGAATAACTCTTGATGTAAAATAATTCCAAATCATCATAAGTTGTTTACATCTTTGCAATCGATTGTACCTCTTCATTTTTTTCTAGTCGAAAATGTACGAGGTAATATTAATAATTTTAATTCTCACTATTTATATATAGATGAATTGCTAATATTAACTGGCTTTTACAAACTTTAAGAATAAATCTATCCACAATCACATGTAACCATTTCATAATTGTCGCACGATTCCCCTTATTTTCAAGCAATTTTTCAAATTCTTTGCAAGCTAAAAAATTACCGATTCATAATAAATTATTTTGGTAAGACAGGCCATTATAAGGTCATTGCGTTATCAAATCCATTAAATCAATATTAGATTGTTCATAAATTTTTTACCGATATTTTACAATTACAAATCAATAGCATAAAAATATTTTTACTTATGATAACTAGCGACCAGTGGAAGCTTCACATTTATCTTTATCGTGAAATACAACTTACACTTGCTAATCTTTTTGGCAAGTATTCGATGCTTCATGGGGGTGATATTTATCAACTGTAGGCTTTGGTTACAAATTTCCTTCACATCTATATTCTGCCAATCACGTAGCATCTTCTCCATGTACAGTCTACTACCAAGTATTAATTGAGATTCCTATAAGGTATATAAAGAGATAATTCGATATAAAGATACTAATAACAATACCATTATCTATTTCTATATTCATGATATGAACTCAATATATTAAAAATCAGATATCTATCATCATATTTAATGTCAATTCTGATAGACGATGGAGTAAATATATATCTAATTATAGAATTGACTGAGGAAGCATATATTCATCAATATACGTTATTGGAAAAGGCCTACCGAAATTAATCATACCTGGAATATGTGATTTATAGTTGTTAAGCGCATAAGCATTAAACAAAAGTATTCTGCCACTGTTGCAAAAGAAACAAATTAAGTGAATTTTACGGTATTAAATTTTTTGTATAATTATAAATTTACTCCATTAGTTATTATACCCATATTTATGGTAAAATGAAAGAATTTGTGAGTCAACTATATGAACCTACCCCGAAGCTTTGCCGACCTCAGCTGTTGCATAGAATCACTTAACGCTTCTTTAATTTTACATAGCAAATTCTTGCCAAAAGTTCTAGCACCTGCGGATAACCTAGATAGGTTTCAAGATTTAAAAACGTATGATCAAATTTATAGCCTTCCTTTCAATCATAGCTTAAAATAGATAAAAAAAATCAATTATCAGTTTGTAAGTTTAGAGACAGTGAATAGCAAATAAGATTCCGCTTAGACCGATATATTTACTTTGCAGGTAGTAACTCTTGAGGATTGGGCTTTAAAAATTGGCAAAGGGCCTAAAAATTAAACGTTGATAGTTATGTCGGTTAAAATTTAAGAATCCAAGTTTACAGCTTAAAATTGACTAATTATGCAGCATTTAAATACTTTGAAAGATCTGTCGAAATCAATTATATACTAGCCTTACTAGCAATTAAGCTAAGGCCTATTATAGTGAGCTACTTAATACTTGTAATCAGACTAGCACAATTAGTTCTTTTTTAATTCCATTTAGAAATAATTATCAGATATAATAGTTTAATCAGGATCTAGACTTACGCCTCTAACTTACCTTATAAACCAATAAATCATAGACGACAACAATCTTAACTACAATATCTGTATTTAAGATATCATATAAATGAGGTGGTAGCATTTGCCAGAAATGAATTAAGAAATCACATGTCTAAACAAAATTGTAGACAAAAATTACATCAAAATATTTTTAACTAGGTCGATTATACAAATAATAATAAATAATAAAGATAATACGTCTAACAGCGGACAAGCATTACCATTATGAAGACTACTGCTGTAAAATAATTATGCAGTACCTTCTAGCAATATATTTTCTTACTAATAATTATATCTTACGTGATACATACTTCAGTAAAGTTGTGAGTACTCGAGGTGCTTAAGATACGCTGGCAGTGAGTCGAATACATTAAAGTAAAGGTGATAATCTGTAATAAAACCCAGCGAAAGAATATATATACATTATTTAAGCGTTTTAATAAGTACTTAAACGCATAGAAATTTCCTATCAAAGAATCAAAGCAACTAACTTTGTCTTGAGGTAAGTCAGAAGGAATACAACAGTCATCAATATTAGGCAAATCTAAGGCATTTTGAACTTGTGAAATCCCATGCTCGCCTTCAAACTAAAAAATTCGACAAGAAAATCATTAAGGCGATATATACCGGGAAAGATTCTATTTTATTTATTTCTGGTGCAATTCAAAGGATAGAAATATATATTTCTATCAGAAAACTATATCTCAAAGTTTCTATAACTTATTTAAAGTGTTATCATTATTTTTAACTAAAACTTGAACACTCCTGTATCTTTTAGCACCACTCTTATTATAATTGTTGAGCCTTTAAAATTATATCAAATATAGAACCACTTATTTCATCAGCATAATCTGATTAAGATTGTTAAATAAATTTCCGCCTAAAGCTATAACTCAATTTATTAATACCGATCTGTAACAAATCTTAGGAATAAATCTTGGCTCATGTTAATAGGAATTTAATAGAATAGTTTTACTACGTCACAACTGTTTACATTCGTATAACTGATAAATATCGATTGCTCTTTTCAATAAGTGAAGATACAAGCTATTCAGGATTTTCTATGTACCCTTTTCTCCGACTTTCGTGATAATTCTTCCCTGTTTCATTGCAGAATCACCGTGTGGAAGAAATGATATTGTAATTTAGAAACAAATCGTGAATTGTAATGATAGGTGTATAATACTTGTACAATAAAAAAAAAGGGTCTATAAGATAATTATGTAAGTTTTATTATTGTGATGCTTCTTTTCACTGAAAAAAATATGAGTAACATCTTCGCACCATTTTTGTAGTTTAACCATAATAATTACCATGGATATGACAATTTTGCCTCCCTAATTTAGCTTGCTAGTAAGTATTACTTCAATTTGAGTTTACAGCAAAAAAATTATGCTATTATATCATCAACACTTTCGAATCTAACTTGACTGTTACTAAGCATTGTTTCCTAATTTAGAAATGTAGTGGTAATGATATATAATAGTAATATGAATACTGATCTTACCGAATAAGCATCTTTCTTCCGTATATTTCTTTATAGAATTCCGAAGTCTCCTTAATACAAATTCCGTAATAGTGATACCTAAAGAAAGATTTAAAGAAATTCTAATTAATTACTTAATTATCTTCCAAATATAAATATCCAACTCATTTTGCGCATATCTGTTGTAAACAATCAAAGATTTAAACGAATTTTTCAAAATTTAAAATATACGGCTAGTGATACATAAGTATAGAAGGGTATTTTTTGACATCAATAGTAAAATTTTAATGCGATCCTAAATGAGTACCATACTTTGATCTTCCGCGATGACCCAATCTCCTTGTCAAAACTTTCGGAAATTCTTGGCGAAGAATCTACATAGTTTAAGCCAAAATCATTGAAATAAATTAGGATGGATACTAACGTAAAGAAAGTAAAATTATTACTGTCATAATAATACATGATATACAGACATCTTGATGGCATAAAATTAAGATTTTTTATTCGCTATATCTAAAGTAATAAACCGAAATCACATTGGAAAGGAAATACTCCACGATAAAAAAGGATCATTACTTAGCACTTAATGTTGTTAATGTGCGTATAGTATACACATATCTAAAGATATAATTATCAAATTTGAGTCTGCATTAGACGAGTATTAATTAGGGATGATGATGGCACAATTTTAGCATCATCTAAAACGTGTAGATAATTGATATGAATTTATCATTGGTTTATGATGATCTATAGATAATTTACAGCAATAAATTCAAACTGTTGTAGTTATTATTAAAATACCTTTCCAAAGTTAGCAGCATTAACGGCATGAATATTCGCTTCTTGACAATACTGGGTATAATTGCTATAGAGAAAGCTACGTGGTATACAAACGCCTTCTGCCTCTTCGTAATTTATCTCGAGCCTAAATCAAATAAGCATATTTCTGCATTACTTTGCACGGTACAAGGACTAAACCTTTTGATCTACAGTAAAAATTGTGGTCCCTCGTCATACTTTGAATGTGTCTGAAATTTACCCCCACGATCGGAGGTGGTGCAAGCGAATATTTCTTATCGCTACACTTTTACCAATATGTAAGTTAGTGAAAGACATTATAAATTATCAGTTTTCAATAAAACTGTACGAATACTATGGTAATGAAATAAATATGTTTTTCAGCATACTTTCAATTTAGGATGATGCAACTACACCTTTGAATTACTGGCGAAATCAAATCAATCTAATGCAATCCAAAGAAATTTACGGGAATTTATAACTCCATTGAGCTTTGTAGATATAGATTACGTTAAATTTTAGTTGTTCGTAAAATCGACTCCAATATACTGCAATCATAAGCACCAAGAGATGCATCCTGTTATCAAACTAAAAAGACTAAACTTTATATAGTAGTTACAGTAAAATTACAGACTTTACGAAAGGAAATTGATAAGAAAATTCAAGTTAACACCATTATACGGCAAACTTGCAGAATCCTTCAATGGCTTCCTGAGTAAGATAGCGAATGCTTATTTTAGACTAAGTATTAGATACAACTTATACCACTGCATGCTTTGACTAGTAGTTTTCTCCTAGATTACGATCACCAATACCTTATAAAAATTCTTTAGTATAATGTATTCTAAATCATTGGATCGTGTTGCTGTCATTGGTATTTATAACACCAGCACTAATACATGCGTGTTCAGTATCTAATCAAGATTTTACGTAATCATCGATTATAACTTTTCCTAAGAAATTCATATAGTTAGATAATAGCACTAATACATCATAGGAAGGATTTGTCTCAAATTAGAGCTATAAATGTTTTAAATTCATTTTTACTTTGACTACTTCTCAGTATGCACAGCGAAGCTATCAATTTACAGAGTCAATTCACAATGTGTGAATTTTACATCATTAAATGGCATCGAATTAGTTATACTGGTATTGCACTTCAAATTCTCTTACCATTTAAGGACAACTGGTGTTGAATGATTAAATTTCTTATCTAAAAGAATTGACAGAATGAGCTTAGAAACAGAGCGAGAGGAACTGATAGTATCATGCAAGGCAGTGCGATTTTAGATTAAATAAAACTAAAAGCAGACAAAGTATCTGTCTAATAAACTGCTTGCAATTAAGAGATAAAGAGTTGGTTTTCATTTACCCATTTTCACTTCAATGAGCAGCAATCAAAAGATAGAATATGAAAAAGATGACTTGCAGCTAGATTTATTTTACCTTTGAGAGAGCATAAATATCAATTTATTATTTTTCTAGATTGAGGAATAAGAAATGTAAGAAGCATTCAAAATACCAATAAGTAGATTGGCCAGAGCATTCGGATGAAGAAGGTTTGCTATACCTATGAAGCTTTCTGAACTGGAAATACATTATGAATGTAGTATAAATGACAGATATTTTGGTACTGTAATATTAATTACGCAAGTTAGAAAGAAGATTAAGTGACAAGTTAAGAAAGAAAATAAAATAGTCTAAGGATGATCAAGATAACCATAATACTTGATAGGAACTAAGAGCATAGCAGAATTTGACATGTTTTTATTATAGATAAAACGAAATAATACACAATACTTAGAGCACCTAGTAATCTAGAAAGATTATCCTTTCTTGCTATAGTGAAACTACTTTTATGGCATGAAATGTACTCAAATGATTTAACCCAATGCCTTGATTTGGTCACTTCAAGTTACAGATGATTGTTAAATTGAGATTATAAAATTGATTTGTCATTGAGAAAATTTTAACATAAAAATCTATATTACACTTTCAAACAGGTGAATAGCTACATTATGTTAATATCTAATGATGTACTCGCGTAACAAGAGATGAATTCTTGCATGGATGACTGACTATTTGTGATCCTTTTTTCAAGCTCTTCAAATTAATTTTAAAGTTATGCCGTAATTATTAAAATAGATGATTTTGAAAATTTATAAATCGACTATTTCTATAAAGAATATCATTATATGTGAGAAAATTGAATAGTGGATAGCAGAAAAACTCTTCTCCAATCATTTACAACCTTAGCAAGATTGTCGATGAATTACTACGACTATATTCAAAGCTAATACAATTAATAACCTGTCTTATAAACAGAATAGATCATGACAACGATTGGAGCGTTAGCACTAAAACATGTTTCCAACTATGTCTTCAAGTATAACAATCAATGATAGACCTGCAGTATGATTCTTCAGTTGGTGCAGGGTAGGGAAAGCATGTGGTAAATAATAACACCTATCAAATGTATTACTGCATTAGTGATAAGATATTTCCAGATTCAGTTTGCATATTTTAAAATAGGATCAAAATAACACAAGCAATCTTTATCTAATAATAATGATGTTATTATTATTATTATTTCTATTATTAGAAGAAGAAGAGCACAAGTTTAACGACGAAGCATAGCGTAGCCTGTATGACTACAGGTCAAATTTACTTTACTAGAATCAAAATAAATATGGCTGATACTTTTTGTTATCCAGTACTGACTTAATTCATGTTAACGTACTTTGACCTAAATACTAAAACTTTGGTTTAGTGTTTTAATGAATGAAAGCATTATGATTGGTTGTGAAAATATCAAACTGCACAAGTGAAAGTGCAAAGTTACATATAATCAGAGTCGGATTAAGACTAATCATTATCTTCTTTTCCAAAATAAAAAATACATCAGCCAACTTCAATTAGAGGCAATACTCGCTAATTGCTGTAATTTCTTCCAATTTTTAAAAATAGCATAAATTGCTACTGCAACGATAAAGACGACAACGAGATTAGAGCTCTAAAAATAAACTTAAAGAAACTGATCGTGAAATGATTGCTATGGGAATAAGTATCGACGAAAAAGGAGTAAATCGAAAGTTATAATTTGGAAATAGATAGACTCATTTTTAAGGGTGAAAGAAAAGGAGTTAGAAGTAGAACGGTACATAGCATTGGCAATAATAATGACTAATCGTAAATCCAATTCTAGAGTTTCCTATTTGGATCGCTATGCTTGCAATTTATCATTAGCATTGATGTTAGTAAATAGAATAGTCTACCGTCATAGTGGGAAAAGTAATAATATTTTTGATTCAGCGAAACTAAAGCGGATTTGTAATTTGAAGATTGATAGCTGTAGCAATCAGTAATCATTTAAAAAGTAAGGATGCAGTTAATACATTCATTCATTTCATTCATTGGTATTCGCTATTTATTTGCGCGTTGATAAGTAGCAAATCTTAAGTCCATTTTGCTTTAGGACATGTAAACCCAACTAATATCAAGCATACTTTAACAGATCAACATTTACTCTATCTTGCTCATTAGATTGAAGTAAATTACCTGAGATAACATTAAAAATCACTTACCAGACGTCAATTTTCGATATGGTTGCAATCTACTTGCCAGTAATCCTAACCCATCGAATCGTCTCTTTGTTGTTAAATTAATGAACTCTGTCTCTGAATGATTGGAACCATGCTTATTTATACTGATGGTGCAAGGCTGGATTTAAAATCTAGTTTACGTCATAATAGTGTTTTATCATTACGATTATTAGTTACTGATTTATTGTGTCAGTAAAATAATTACATAAGCGTGAAATATCCAAGTGATACAAAAATAACATTTAATATACCGATGTTATTCATTGGCTAAAATTCTGGTGTTAACTATGAGATGCTGCTAGTACAATGACTGCGATCAACGAACTAATCACTTCAAGAATATAATACTTCAAAAAAACGTAGTTAATTATGATACTATTCAATCCAAGACATTGTCTGTAATTTCCCATTCATATCGCTGTAGTAACCCATATTATTTTCCTTAAACACACGATGAAATGGTCATGCGTTGCTAGCCAAACATTGACTAACATAACAACGAAATCAATAATACGATTATTATTATATATCAATTCCAGGTAATAATATTATAATCTGATTTGAAAATAATAAATGAATGATATTACAATGCAACAATTATATTATTTTGTTAGGATAAGATGTTACAGCTAATATATGTTGGTGAGAGATCTCGCCTTGCTTAGATGGATATGTATCCATGTCTATCCCAGACTATATCGTCTTTAAATGTTTAAGAGCCTAGAGGCTGGGAACTACCATAAGATTCCAAATTAATTCCTTGATCTCTATATCTTTATTATATTAATCTTCTAAATGGGAAAGGCGTTAAAGTTATTTTAATTTTAGCGATTATTATGTGATAATCATTAATTTTCTCTTAAAATTATATGCATAAAATACCAAATAAAGCTAATGACTTGTATGCTAATTATAAGATGTTATTAACATTCGATAAACTGAATGTGGCAAAAATGAGCATCTTACCGTCTTATTATGACTGTAAGTTACGATATCGAGAATCTCTTACGGTAAAGAGATGGAGTCTTTATAATATTTTTACAGGTAAATAGACCTATAAATAGCAGTTGCGAAGTAATATTGTGTATAAGCTTAGCTTAGACAATTATCGAGGAAAACTTAGTTAAGATTTAAAGGCTACGCATGAATTCAGATAATAGAAGGATCCTGCGAAACCAGTATAAAATGAGAGGTAGCACCAGTCATCACAAAGTATTACCCACTATCAGCCTATTCGAAGTTGAACAGCTTTTTCAGTAGGCACCGGCTACATTACTTCATTAATTAAATCAGATTTCTGGTGTTGACGCCAAATTATGAGAATAGATTCATGGATAGCTACCTGTGCTAACTTTGAATTCTTAACCCCTATTATCAATTAAGTTTTCCTATCAAAGCATTTTAGAGTAATTATGATATCAAAAATTGAGTTAAATTGTAGTAATTAATAATTAATGTTATCATTTCATGTTCTTCATCTCAGAGATTAAATAGAAATTCGATAAAGATTACTGATAAATGATACTCAATAAGGATATTCTAAGGTGGATAAGGTGTCGATATTGGATAATTACTCGGTATATCTAGAATTTGGTGACATTTTTCTTTAATATCAAAGCATACATAAAGGTACATAATTGAGGGGCAACCGTCATAAACTTGCTATAAATATGAAAGTAACTATTGAAACACTCTGAATAGAATTTTAAAGGTAAAGAAATTGAGTGGGAGAAATGGAAAAGTTTCTAATAATTTAAATTCCATAATTGTAACAAAGGTGTCAGTACATGATTTACTGTTCCAATTTCTTATAATTTTCTATCCTTGGCAACTTTCATTATTTTAAATTCTACTTTTGAATGAAAAGTTGTGATTTGACCTGTTTCCAATACAATTTCTTAAAACAACTAATACCGTAAAAGACGTCAAATACTATTAAAAATAGAATTCGGGATTCAATTGTCCGTCCATGTTAGCACTTTGCCACTTAATTTATCTATTGTTTGAACTAAACTGAACATAATCCACGCTTTTAATATAATGAATTTTGATCTTTAATATAGTAATAATTCCTGTTTGTTTACCTTAGTGATATCACTATACACAACCATGGCAACATTTCTATCAATCTATACAACAGGCAAAGCAGTTGATAACGCATTTAGAATCATTACATTAATTGGTCATAAATTTATTAATCTCAAGAATCCATGGAAATAATTATAAATATACAATTGCTTGCTCAGTAATTACGATAAAAATGAAACAGAAAATAGAAATAAAAGCCAGTACAACATGCCTAGTTGATAATGTGTTTCGATGACTAGCTACAGTTCAGATAAAGAGTTAACTTTATTATTTGGATTATAATCACCTAATTATAATATTTCTTTTTATCTTAATTAACATCCTTTAGAATTAATTGCATGCAGCTTGCAAACTAGAAGCAATTGCGACCCTCTACCCTATTATTACGAACACTTAGACCGCATAAAAATTTGAACTAAAATATACCAATGTGAAATAAAAACAACTATCTGTCATTTATGTAATTATCAATAACTTAAATACATGACTACTTTGATTGTGTAGATTTACAGTAAATACTTCAATTAGTATTGTCTCAATCTACTTTTAGATAGTACTGTATAGTCTCATAGCTTGGGAATGAATAAATAGCATAACATCCATCTTTTACAGCTGTAAACATCAACATTGAAGGAACTTATAAATTGGTAGTTAATTGTCACCGCAATATTAATTTTTTCTCTAGAATGCTTGCATTTGTGAGTCTATCAACAAATTCTGTTACTTAATTGCTCTGCTATTAGTTTCTTAAATTAGGACAAAAGAAAGTTTAAATTAAATTCTTTCATATTATAACGGCGAATTGCTATGATCTGAATAATACATCGCTGAATAATAATTTCAGTACAATGCAACTATTTACTAAAATGATCACTTTAATTAATAATCATAAAATTTCGTTTATCGATCTCAATTGTTTGGATTAAAGTTGTAGTAATTTTAAGAAGATGACGTGGTAGCTTCATCGAGAAGTGATTCAAAACAGAAAAAATCTAAAACTATAGCAGATTTTATATTCAAATACGATATACTGTTCTCGTATACTGTAATTGATGAAGGGACAATTTAAATAGTATTCAAGAAACAACTATGCATTCAAACTGTAGTGTATTTAGAATATACTGTAACTATATTCTACTGTTAAATATAGACATGTTGTATTGCTCTTATATTTAGACAGATCTACAGTCCTCTTACTCTACATTCATATATAGACTACTGTATTTAGTTATTACGGTACTCGCTGTTTTCTACAATCATCTGCTATTTTGTAATCTGTTATGGTATATGCTGTATCTAATTCCACAATCCTATTCTCTGCATGTGCTCTATCTTTAAAGCTATAAATACCGGCGATTTCTACCTCAGAGTTCATTAGCCTCTCAGTTAGTCTTCTAGTTAGTCTCTCAAAGTCTAATACTTCTACTCGTTACTCACGACAGCTTGCACGCTGATCTACCGTAACTACCTCACTGTACTTCACATTACTAACCTACAATAAAGCATAACTTTTATAAACCCTTTGTTGTAATAATTGTAAATGGCGACTAAATCTCAATCCTCTGAGATATCGAACCCTCCATCACACTCATTGACCTGATCTATACAATATCTGGTATCAACATATACAATGACCTATAATTTAAAAGTCATTTATTTTAAGCCATTGAGTTGCATCATTGGCAAACATAATTAACAATGAAGAAATTTTAAAACTATTCCCTCATTAGACAAAATTGCACAATTATAGAAGAGTCAACAATTAAAATTCATTGGATAGTTATACTTACAGAATAAGCATAAATTAATGAAACATGAATACGTTGCTTTGAGGTAAGCATTAAATTCAATCTGTGACCAAAATTATATATGGCAAATGCATCATATGCTATCTAGATATGAAATAAAATCATGCTGCTGATCTGACTGATTTCACTTTCTTTAAATATACTATATCATAATCTAGGCATCATTTTTAACTATGTTATCTATTCCAAGATAAACAACCGCAAATACTAGAGAAAGCTACTGTTAAAATGAAATATCTACTAAGAACATATAAATTAATATCATCCTTGCAAAAATGGTCATGAATATGTATTTAATAGCCAAGGTTGATAACGTTCGTTTAAAATCATTTTGATAAAATACTTTTTTACAGCAACATACACAACGCGTAGAAGGCTAAATAGTGTAGTAATTTGCAATACTATCAGCATTCAGTTAATGATGACTAAATACATTAGTTCTTTCTTATTTTGAAAGCGTTTTTACAAAGTCAAAATCTAAAAATGTTGATTTTAATTATCTACGCATTATATGTGCAATCGATATATTAGTTATACATGACCAGGAAATCAAGAAGGATGACAGCGTCTCTAACCGTGAGCAATTGCAATAAATAGATAATTTCTCTCTACTTCGAAATGTCAATATTTTTAAATATTTTTAAATATTTTTTAGCACTTATGGTATCAGCGCGGATAAACATATATATTTAAAATGATTAATGACATTAAACTACCTAGCGATGATGGCAACAGCCAAATTTTTTCCCTTGGCCTAAGGTTTTCTCAGTAAGTTTCATTCCATTAGAGCTTCCTTCTGATTTGCTTTCATTTTCCATTAAGATTCTGCATTTAAACGTAAGAATATCTAGGCTATAGTTTGGGAAATTACTGAATAAACTAATCTTTATTCTTAATAATAAAAGTAGCAGTGCAATCATTTTCACAGAAATCTCTATAAAATGAACAGCATTTTATTGCTCTTGGCATTGAAAATACTGAAGATTGTTTTTGTACGAGATAATATGGTCATGTATAGCTAAACTTACCGTGTTAATTTCAGACATGCATCACTAACATTAACACCACTTTTAGCACTACATTCGACGAACATGGCTTGATATTCCTGCAAAAAAGATCGATAGTAAATACAATTATGTCATACCTTGAAAAATGCTATACCGATTTTCGTAAATTAACTGCGAACATGTAACAAATACTAGAGGAAGAAGCATGAAGTTATTATTTTACTTCCAAAAATAGAGTATTACTGATAACTACCAGTATTCTAAGCAATTAGCGTTAGAAAATGCCGTTATTTCCTGCAAACTTTAGCTTTATTGCTATACTATACTTTTAAGTAAAAGATTATAACACGTACAAGTGAATAAATAGCATTACTTGAGTTATATTCTTAAACTCGAAGTCCTAATACATTTAATTGAGGATCAATTATTATAATGACCAAACCATACGTTGACTTACTTTTGCCAATCTTTGCCCATTCTCAGTACTGATTACTGCCTCTCCTTTAGCTTCTTCGGTGTCCCTCAAATCCACTTTATTTCCTAGTAGCATAATGGGTACCGGCTTACTTGTGCTATTCTAAACATAAAAATGTAATCAATTTTTATGATGATTCGATTTTCAACAGCGAAGAAGTAAATATACTAGTAAAGTTACTGTAATAAGGTTAGTTTTAACTAAAAATAAATTCCTTCGCTTATTCTACAGCATATCACCAACATCTTATTTGTTTAACCTATTCCTTAGTGCAAATTACACAACAGTAAATTTAACGAAGAAATTGTTTACTTCTTTTAGAAGTAATCTGAGCATGCAATACCTTTAGAGCTATGCGGTTAGAAAAATAAAAAATTAGATGATATCTTTACTGATAACATAATTACTTCAATTGCATCCATCCAGTCTCGGACGTTTAAAAATGAACTTTCAGAAGTTACATCATACAGCAGCAGGACACCATCAACTTTACGAAAGTAGGACTTTGCAATACTGCGATATCGTTCTTGCCCAGCAGTATCCCATAATTGTAATGTAACGATGATTCCGTCTACTTCTAATGTTTTCATTTGAAAGTCAACACCTATTTATGGCCATATTATAAATTTTTTTAAATTTGGTTATATTACTTTCCAATAAAAATTATAATTGTAGTTTTTTGATATTGTATACTACCGAACAGAAAATACCGAAATATCAGAATAATCAATATTTCAAATAAGTAACCGTATACGAAATATTGAGATATACAACTTGTTTACAACCATATCGCCCTATTTCAGCTTCTACTGTAAAAACATCATAATAGTGTACCAACCTAAAGTAGAATGCAACGCATTGTGGAATCGATTTTGGCATAATCTTAAAATAAAACTTGATTTGCCGACAGCAGCATCGCCGGCTAATACCAATTTGAACATTTTAGTATCGGTTTTATTCACCTCCTGTTCATCAAGAAAAATATAAATTAAATGATAGAAGATTTATACTATAAATTACTTTTTATTCTGCAGTAGATATTGTAGACCCAAATACATTTACCATTTTGCCTATATTATAATGAGAATCGGTTCTGAAAAGTTTTTTCTCCGGCTTAGCGTCTCCGTTGGCTTGAAAAATATCACTGCTATCCGCAGTATTCGATCGAATGCCTCCATTACCGGTAAGTGGTCTATCGTCCAAGTCTACGCTAATTTGCGATAGGGTTGCATTCTTTCTGTAAGAGTCAGAATCAATTCCCTGGCTGGCACATTCATCCTTAAATGACATGGTTTCTTTACTACAAAATGCATTATTTTAGAAAGAGAAATGAAATTAATGTAAGAATATAACTAAAGCAATATCGTTAATACAATACTTTCATCCATTTTAGGCGAAAATATTAAATATTAAAGTTGAGAGACTTCATGTAGGTATGATCCTTTTAGGTAGGTTATGATATTAATAACAACATGGGGAAGGCGATAAACTGGTCTATTTAAAGCCAGAACATTATTATAACGACTACGATATAGAAAATATTTTCTAAAAAAATTGCAGTTATCCTATTTACACAGCTAGAAGAGGTAATCACGATGGATTAAAAATATTTAAATTTAATGGATAATTCAGGGTAATTAAGTGATCAAACTAGTTACTTTATAAATTCATTCTATTTTATTTTACCTAGATCCATTTGGCAATTTCCCATCGTTGATTGCTCCGTTGGGCTTGGAGGATCCCTTTGCTACCTAGGATATGAAATACGCGCAGCTTGGGTTATATCTTCAATGAATGTTTACATGTAACCATAGCATTAGAAATTAAATTAAGTAGAAATTAGTTTGCTGTCAGGTTATATAGCTAGCAGGTGATGGACTCTATGTATATTGAACTATATCATAATTCGCTCGTGAATATTAATAAAAGTCCCTAAGCACTTTATTGATGTAATATGCCATTTACATAAAGTAAAAATTTGTAGTTTTACGATCCTTATTTCAGGGTTCCTATCGCCTTTATAACAATCACGGTATTTAATGATGGTAATTTGTTGAAAATAATAACTAGGATAAATGGTCATGTTATTAACGCTGTTTAGAATGTGACATAAAACGAAATCTAAGCTCTATTAACAATGTACTTCGATGACTTCATCTTAGTTTAAACTGAATTTTATGATCGCTATAAAACTTACTTCTAATCTTTCTTTCAAGTCAATGTTTACCATTTGCAGCTTTCTATTTGCCTCTCTAATATAAATGCAAAGATTTTTTACCAAAATAACGATACAAGAATTAAAAAAACGATAACTCTCTGAAATTACCAAGTCATCTAGTATCCCTATAAAGTACTTTGTAGAAAGCTGGGGCACCAATAAGTCATGTAGAAGTTAGCCTTATAAATTATTTACTCACCGAAGGGTTTGTAATTGTCTCGTTAAGTTTTCTTGCTCACGAACATGAACTAAAACCGTTTCCGATTCACTGTAAATCCAAATCAATCGTGAATATAATGTAAAATTTCTATCATGTAAAATCGTCACTAAGTTCTTAAAATAGTACCATTTGACTATTAATTTTAAGAATGTTGAACTTAAAATAGTGGCTCACTTTTGTAATGCTAAAGACTGCTCTTCGTAATCATTATTTAATTGTGACATATCGCTCCTAACGATGGATAATTCAGTTTGTGCGCTAGTAATCTGGCTTTTCAAAGCACGATTTTCCTAAATATTGAATTTGGTTACATTTCAAACAGAATTATAAAGGAAGTATCAGTAACTAAATCATGATAACTTTTGATCGGCTTATGAGAATTCAATTTCATTACATCTAATAGGTTATCCATTTCTTTAGTAATAGCATGGTACTCGTCCATAGAGAGTGGATGTTCATCTCTTAATTTTGACTCAAGCTATAACATAGTTTATTACAGTTAATTTCTGATCTTATTCTTTCAAATCGTAATTATTTACGCTGCGAATAAAATAGCTTAGTTACCGCTTGAATTTTTACAGTGATTTCTTGCAATTCAGATTGCTTGCCCTCTAGATCACATCTTAATCCACTTATAACTCTCTCTGTTTTATTTCTTTCCTATAAGACACAAAAATTACAGGTAACAAATGACGTTTTTATTTCACAAGTATGCAATTGACAATTTCAGATCGTGATTGTCATTATTTTAGCTATGTTTAGTTATTAATTAATTAATATGTTTTCCACTACAGCTTTCACTAAATTAATCTATCTAGAGTTGTAAAAGGAAAAAATTTCCGAATGATTCATATTATCTGCAGCCATTCCTATGAAGACTGTAATGAGTACCTCAGCACGAATTTTTGCTTCTGCTTTACTTAATTGAAGATCAAATTCTTCTTCTAATTGATGGATATGTTCAGCTTGTTTCTCAGTAGATCTGGTGACGAAAATAGCTTCAATGTAAGAATTATGATTGCAATGAAAATTTTCAATTCTTCTGGAAATAGTTGTCTCAGATGGTTATGCAATTTCAAAATTGAATTAAGCGTATGGTCTAGCATACGCGTATCTTATTACAGAAGGGGCTACAATTACTATAGAGAAGGATTAGTAATAGTCTCTCGGCCAAATAGACTGTAGTATAGTAATGGAGTTTGATAAAGGGAGAGCGTAAACTGGCTTTCTTGCTAATGCAATACAGTTTGAAGAATTATTTAATACATTCAAGAATAAGTTTAACGGATGGCAATTTTACGATGGAGATTAATCGAAAATTCTTTCAGTCAACTAAAGAATAATGGCTATGCACCTAATTTTGATGATGTAGCGCGTTTATATTGGTCTTAAAAATAATATTTAAACCTGATTTTTAAGAGATCTACGAAAATGTTCATCGTCAATTTAAATCATAAAAATTCGAATTAATTTTAGAAGAGCACTGTAGGATAGTTGGATAGTTCAAAATGTTTTCTCTCTATAATGCATGATCATTCCTAGTCAAAATTGCACCGTTCTTTCATATTACTAAGCGCATTACTATTTGATGAGGCATATCATGTAACTGAAAGAAAAGTTTTTGTTAATAGGAGGGAATTTTCGGTTTATTTGTTGCAACATAAATCAATATTGTAGCTTACAGACAAGTTATGACAGCTGTGCCTGAATTTTTAACCTACTTTCGGTATGAATTTTCATTTCTAAATCAAATTTTACCGTACCTTTTTAAAGCGAGTTCCAGTTGCTCTGTATTCTCCTGTCTTCTCTTAATATCTTTAACCACGCATAGTAGGAAACTTTCCAGGTTGACGAGTAGTTGTGGTGAGTCTGACTCGTTCAGTTGTTGAAATAGTTCGCAAAGTTGGTCTTGCCTGTACATTAATATTATTAAATAAATGTTAATGCATCAGTCTAGAACTTGAAATCTGTGCAGTAATATTATGGGAACATTCTCATCGATTAAAAATTTTATACTACTACCAGTTTAATAAAACTCCAAGTATGATCTGCTGAATTATTTATAAAAAGAGACTAATTATGAACTAGAATTAGTTATTTGTCAAATTATTCAAATAACTTTTTTTAATCTTTTCTATGTTACGTAGTGTATGATCTAAAATGAAGCATAATAAACTGTCTACTTAAAATTCCTACCGTAAAGTTATGCTTTGTAAACTAAATTGCATTTATAATAAATAGATCAAGAAGAAATGGAATACGCTTAGCGCTCCATCCATTTTATCAACTTAAATTTTGATTTATGACATCTGACCGATTAAAAATGCTTGTATTTTCTACAATATCCTCCTTCCTGCACTAAGTGATTTTGAGGGTAATTTATAGTGCATTCCGAAGTAGAAATACATTGACCAAAAGATTGCTATTTTTTTAAAAGAAGGTTTAATTGCCTTTGCTGATGCTAGCAGTCTACATGGCTACCAAATCACGAAATTCAATCAGTTACATTGCTATAGCAGAATCATTGCTAATGCACTGTAATTCTCGATTATCGAGAAAGTCATCGTGAAATCAACAAATCTGGTGATTATTGAGGCAAATGAACGATATCGAGAAGATCAGATATGAAAAAAAGTTATGAAATTTGTCAACGTTAAACCCATGCCAATCCCAAGTCAATCCCATGATAATGTGGAAATGGGTATAGAAGGATCACTCCATTGCATAAGATAATCGAATAAATAGTTGAAAAATTATAATTATATATGGCTTTTAACCTAGCTATCCATCTACTGTGAAATAAATAAGCATTAGATAGCTATCATCAAGATCTTGACGATATAGACAGGCTAAAAGTACAAAAAATGATCCAATCTCGAGTTGTAATCAAAACTAACGAGGTAGATTGTTCAAGGAAAAGTCAAAAATCAATTGTATTGGTCACTGTAAACATGTACCATTGCAATATAGTTACTCTGTTTTTCAATTCTCACCCTTCAAAGAATTGATTATGAAAAAATTCCAGGTAATCATTAGTATAAGTGTTCTCATGTTCATAATGGGTCGTCGATTCCGGGGATGATAATGGAGGGGTTAAAGTCTCTTGATTACGGTTTTTAGGCATTGCTATACCAATAGCATCTTCAAAACAACTCATAAATTCTTCGATCGTAACAATCCCATCGCCATTTTCGTCCAGTAAATAAAATAATTGATGAGCTTCGTCAACTGAAATGGGTATTACCTTTTTTTGGCATAAAATTTCTAAATCGCAACGTTGAATATAACCTTGCTGGGCAACATCGCAAACATCAAATAAACTTCTAGCTAATTGGGTAGAATGATCTTTATCCGTTGAGTTCCTATAAGCTTCCATTTTGACCTCAATTAATTACAAAATTCTAGTAATCAAGGATAAGGATAAGATGATGGATGAACAAATTACTTTAATTTTTTTCGACGGTAACACTCTTCCCCCAAAATAATTCAGTAATTGATGCAGGATAGTTAGCTTCTGTTATAAATAATTATTAATAATAAATCATAGACAGTTTAAGTAGTTCCATTTATGGTAATAACTGCTGAAAAGTCTTCAATTTTAGGTTGCTTCAGTCAATGCTTACTGTCTCTGCGATCATGAATTCAAGTTTTGACAAATAAGGCTGGATTAAATTCCTCAATTGTCTCGATTCTAACCACTCTCCAGTAGTTTTAATTCACTAACTTACTATATTGCAATTGATATTACATCAATAAGAATCTTGATCATGAAGGTAATTAATTGCTTTATTTACTAGGTAACTCGGATGAAAGTATTGTAAGATTTAAAACAAAGTTCAATGAAATAGCGTTTTGAGATTCCTAACCAGCTAACTCAAGATTTCTTCCGCTATTTTATTGGTTAGTTTCGGTAATGCCAGCGAAAGAAGCCAAGTGAAGGTCTAAATTTTCCTTCCTATTCAGTCTACTTTCACCATGAGTAAGCAATAAATTGAAACTGAATGCTGAAAAGGTTATGCTCTAAAAGTGCGCTTTTAAATGCAACGGCATTTAGTAGAGAATTACTCGTATTATAAAGAAATTTCTGATAGCAATATTGCTAATAGTATCTCTATACATAAAACAACAAAATGACGATAATATTATAGTTGATGTTGTATGAATTACTACTAGTACAACTGTTCCACGTCTATCGCTAGTGTGTACTAATTAATTGATTGATTGTGTGGATATCAATTAATTTTGATATTGTTACATAAAGTAAATTAGAATCTTATTTTATTGCCTTGTATGTGATAGTTCAATGATATTTCAGCATGTAATGAATTGCAAAGACGCTATTACGAAACTTTTTTAAATGTGGAGAGAGGGAAAGAAATCCGTGGTATGAAATGGTGAAGGAATAACTTTCAGTTGCGTAAGCCAATGGTCGCATAGAAATTGATTGCCATCAGCCGAAATGATAGACAAAAACTTGGATCATAATAGTGTCTTCATGATCTTATCAATAATAAACTTATTTTCTGGATTAAGTATAATTGATGCGGTATTAGGCGAAACTTCAACTTAAAATTAAAGCAGTTTAATGCTGGAAGATGAAATGAAAGCAAGAGCTGATCGCTATAAAGTTGCTTCTTCACTCTTACTTGATACTATCGAAATGATAACTTTCATAACCTTTGACTAATCAATAAAGTTGAAAGTGCGACAACAATCGTTTAACTTAACCGCTAGTAATCCTGTAATTTGAATCAATTAATTGTCTATAGTAACCAGTGCTGTAATATTGGCCTGGAAATTTCTCTGTTATAAAGCAAACGCTAGGACAAGGAAGGAATACAACGAAAGAATAGGTTCAGCCTTGTATTGCTGGATGATGCTGTCCTATAAGAAGGAATATTTCTCAAATTGTCCAGAATTATTAATAGAATTTAAAAGAATTTAGATGATAGCAAATGATAATCCGTTGTTTCTGTTAACGTTGGATAGATACTTGAAAGAAGGAATTGATGTAATTTATAAGTAATGTGTTCTTGTTTAGTCAATTCCAGTATGGCTTGTTCAATGGCTGTTTTAAACCAATCCACCAGTCCCAATTTGTAAGCCAAGCAGCGAGACTCGTATTACTAAGAACTACAATATTCGATTGGCAATAGCAATACGATGGAATACTTTTCCAATGCCTATTCGTTAAGAATGATTAATAGCCCAAGGTCATGATTCTAAAATGATTCCAGATGTGTTACTGATAAGGGCAATGATATAAATTTCAGATTGTCTTGGTGGATATTAGGTTAAGAGCTGTTGATTGATATTAGTCTTTCTATTTTATCCCTATCCAATTAATTCGATCTAACTATAATACCCTTGAATGCAAGCAAAAGTATGGTAATTCCGTATAAAACCAATGCCCTACAAGGAATGGCGATCAATCTAACTGATACTGATCGATCTAGTACTCTTTTTTATCATAAAGACCAACAATTTGAAATACAGCAGGTCAGGAAACGAATGGTATAAATGTATTTTAACTAGCGTTGTAATGATGGATCATTTTAATTTAAACCTTCTCGGTGTTTCTACTAGCTATTTCAATAGAAACTAAGAAACAATATTACAATTACGCAGGACTTGCTAATCTAACATTAACGGTATTATCTTTTGTCTCATAAGATAACAAAACAAAACAAAATACTATCGTTCCCTTATCCATTGTTGCATAAATGAGTAGAATAACTTGATAACAAAGCCATCAGTAGCATCTTTGATGAACAATAACTGATGGTCTTGTTCCATCTTTAGATTGTAATAACAATTTTAAACAAATATCCTCAATGACAAAAGAATTTTTAATAACCGTTGATATGCAGTTAGTCATTCGATCAATAAACTATTTTCTAATCATCATCTTCATCTGATACTTCTGTGGCTTTGTTAATATGACAATTTTAATAGTTCATTAGTTTACAGTCAATTTTTTATCGAACGGGTTAGTGGTTGTTTTTTCTCACTGATGGGATTTATAATATCAATACAACGAATGCAAATCAAATATTTTATCCTATTGCCACTTTCGTATTGATTTGTAAACACGGATAGGTTATTTTTACCCTTTCTGTTTTGCGTGGATGATGCCTAGATACCTTTAGTTCGAGATATCACTATCTAATCAATCAACATTGAACTATGTGAAAGCTTCCGCAGATACTGGTGTAGATATTGTAGTGCCCTAATGCTGGGTACAGAATAATTTAATGCTAAACACGACAACAGATTTAGCCAAATGAATATCAAGCCCTACATTTCTTTACTTTGCCTTGGACGTAGATAAGGAAATTAAAACTAAAATTATCGAAATATTAAATAATTTTGCGGCGTCAAATGGTAACCATCAACAAAGATAGTGAAATTAGAACTAAAAGTATCGGAATACACAATACTTTGACGCATTTAAAGGTAACCATCATTAAGGATACACGTATTATGCTACTAGATTTACGTTAAATTCCAAGTAGTCTAAGGATATCGGTTCATTATACTTCATTAGATAATAAAATACTCCTTAGATCTTCATCAGTTATTTATCTTGTAAATATAAACGTTGAAGTTAAGGCATAGCGGAACAGGATATTTTTGTATTAACGTATCTAACAGCAACAATTGGACCATTTTAAGTTTTCTGAAAGATACGACGATACAAAATTATAGTTGGAATAACAGCTGTATTCGTGAAGATTCAACGCTTCATCGAAAAATTTTGGTTTTAAATATTCATTGACGTATGCAAGTGAATGAATTATAGACCCTGGTCCCAAACTATAAGCATCGAAAAGTATGCGATTCTTATCGATTTCAGACAATTTTGCACACTTTTTCATCTACAACGAAGCATCATTGCAATATTCTAACCTCTGAATAGCTTATACTGTACTATAACTCAAGTTTTGCTACTGAATTGCATAATTTTGAAATCAATTATAACCTATCCCCAGCCTTACCGCATTTATTTTATAACGAAAGTCGTATATAATTGAAATTAAATATTGCTCCCTAAAAGCAACGGAAATTTATTTACATAGAAATTGTGTAAATCTAATGTAATTTTATATACTACGGGTATAAGCTATATTAATTATCCCTTGTGTCTTGTTCTACTGCTATTAAAGTTATCTTAATTTTTAACTTCTATTAGTAAAGCCTATATATACAGTAGTAGACACATGATATTAATTCAAGGGAATAATATGCTAAAGTGATATAAGGCTATTCTGAAGTCATTACCCATCAAATGTCTGGCGTTTAGATTCAATTTCCTCTTTGTCTATTAGTTCTTTACATGATTGCTACATATGGTACCCAGTAACTCTGTAAAATCAATATAGTAAACATCATATTGTACAGTACTTAATAGGCAATGAGCTAGATTGAATCAATGGAAAGGAAATGAATGCATAAATGCGTATTTCCTCAACAGTAACGTTGTAACTTTATAAGCCTCACTAAAGAATCTATACAGTATCAAGTTGTCAAAAGTTGTTTTCCTCTAGCTTTGCATGATGTCTGTCCATTTATAATAGAATGTCTTTGAATTTGAATAGAGGATCAATTATTGTTCCCTTGAATCCGTTGAGAATTAAGAAGTTCAATTAAAAATTCGGCATGATATTAGTTTTATGTTAACGCTGTTGAAGCACAATTTATACCAGCTGTTCAATTCGTGAAGAGTGATAATACAGAGTACGTCAGTAGAGCTTGCTATTATAGGGCTAAGCGATAAAGCATGATTAATCTTATCATTAAGCAGTAGTAATATGATCGTGACATATGTAATCATAAATTATGGGTTTATCATTCGCAATTGTGGCCCCTTTCATGGATATTTCTTGATACTACAATTTCGTACAGATTAAAATAATGGTCACACATGGATTATTACAAAGCTGAAATTACCAAAGCTGTGCGTATGTTACGATGTCCTAAATGAGGATATGAAATCAAGCCTATAGTATCGATTCAGATTTTACTTAACTCATGCCAAGAAATTAGATTCATCAGTGCCAATTTAAGTAATTCCCCGGTGATAAAGTGCTAAACGCATACGAATATAGCAAGTTTAGTTCTACTCTAGGTTACTATGCAATACTGTCCACGATTTGTTTTTAACGAGACTATGAGCTATTAGTAGTCCATAGCAGTGCTAATGCATTCCTAAGATATAAGCTATTTTTAGGAGTGCCATAGCATGGTACAGTAGTACCAATTTGATATTCTTGCTACAGATTAGTATACCGCTTGGATAGTTCTTCACATTGTTACTATTTTTAAAAACTTATGAGCATATTTCCAAAAAATTGGTGTTAACATTTAAATACCATG